CACACACACACAGACACAGACACACAGACAGACACAGACACACAGACACACACACAGACACAGACACACGATCATTAGAAAATGACTCTGGTGGATTTATCAGGTTTATCCAGTCCTGCACTTTCCTAACCCAGCAGAGTTCAGCTTTAACTTGCTCCAACACACTCGCTGTGTCTCAATTCACCAACTTACACTACTAAAACATTTGTGAAGATAAAGCATGTTGTTTTGAGTATGTGAGCAGAAGAGCAGGGAAGCTTTGGGACAAACTATCACATCATAAAAGTGCCGTGAAACCCTGCGGGTATCTGTGGGTTACTCATCCGATCATGCTGTGGCGTGGAGCACTCTCATTCCACTCTCAGACACGGTTTAGGGTGGAGAGCATGTGGATTGGGACGCAGGGACTTATCTAGCAATCCTGATGCCCTTGACCAGCTGTTTGAGGTGCTTATTTAGGGATCTGCACACAGTTACACATGCATTTTCTTTTTACTGTTTACATTCACTTAAGAAATAACCGACTGTTTACGAGGAAATTCTAACATATTTTTGTGTGTATTTGTCCTTTCAAATGCAAAAAGACATGGACAAGACAAGAGGACTCAGTTCAGCATCACACACTATTCAGTATGAGAGGAGGCTTTCTGTGCAGCAGAGACAACAGTCTTCATGTGCTTGAATGGTTTAAAGTCATATTAAAATGCGCACAAAGGAATTGATAAGAGGAATCGAAATTTTAATTTTTATATCAAGTATACTTCCTGACCATAAATATCCCGATTCCAGAATTGGAATCCATTTTTGTTTCCCAAGCTACAAGTTAACGTTAAATAAAATGCTCTTTTTTCGTTCCACCGAAAATGTGCCTGGAGTCCACCGTTGCTTCATACGAAGTTCGCTTTACCATTCAACTGAACTGTGTGCATGCATTTTAGACACATAGTTCTTGCTCCGTCCATGCAATAACTGTGTCCTACTATCAGTTTTCTATTTACTTGAACTGCTGAATTGCAGCGCCCGTCAAACACTCACCCGGTTTCTCCATCAGCACCTTTGTCTTTTTTGGACTTTGTACTTTTGGTGAAAAATAAATGTAGCAAAGTTGAATACTTATTTTTATTCAACTCAAGTAAAAGTACCACAATTTAATTATATCCAAGAAAGTAGAAAAAAATTAAAAAATGTATTCAAGTACTGTAACGAAAGTATTAGTAATTAGTTACTTTCCACCTCTGGAAGAGTTTTAATAATATGTTAACTTTAAAGTAGTTAAGTGTGTGTATTCACTACAATCATTTTGTTTAATATGATCAAGACCAGTTATGGAGGTGAGACTGCTGCAAAAACATGTCACACGTGGTTTATAACCACAGATAAAATTACATCCAATAGTTTTTAAAGCCTTAACAAGGTTTGGAGAAAAAAACCATTAAGGTTTAACATGCAGAAATGTAGCTACAGGTTCTCACCCAGACACTCTGTTGGTAAACTCGATTATGTCATCTTTGGTTCTTGGTCCTTTGTAATTATATGCCAGTTCCCCCTTCAGCCTGAGAGAGAGAAACACACCTTTATTTAATCAACAATAAAAACTGCAGAACTGAATCACAGCATGTCTTACAGCATAAGAATGCATGACGCGAGTCAAAGAACCACGACACACGAAACACATCTAAATCATGTGATTCACACCTACAGTGGAATAATTTTTACAGCTGTAATGAAATATTGAAAGCATGAAAACTCATGTGACAAACATACAGAAACACCTAACCCTGATCCTGAATGTGCACATGCTTTAACAGCAAGACGTGTTACTCAAACTCTTACTGAAAAAGTTATTACAGTATAATCCGGTCATCTTAATGGAGAGATTTGTTTTTGGGGTTTTTTGTATTAATGAATTCAGATTAATAAATGCCAGATGTTTTGATAGACCACATTGGACTGAGACCATTCAAAAGTTGTGAAAGTGCATTTGCATACATTTATTAATTTAATTAGTTATATTATTGCTTCGATTGGTGCTGGGGTTGAATTCATATCTGTCAATCATAAACTCCATTCAGCAGCTAAATGTTAGATGTACTGAGAGGCAAATGGCTGAAAAACACCTTAACAAAGAAATATTGCCTATTTCCCAAGTGTTCCCATTATTCTGACCAAACTCTGTATGTATACAGTATATGTAACTGTATAATCTGTAAATACTATAGATCATTAACCCTCTACGGTCATGTAAATGATGCAATAATTCCTAAGACATCTCCCAGCAACCGGTGTTGTGAAGCAGCCAAACAGCAGCATTTACTACGGTAACAGAAGTACACAAGCCTATCCCAGAGTCCTCCAGAGAGAGGAGTCAAGCACTGATCCAGCCCTGCTTCACACCGACGGATCTGAGCTCTACTTCTGCCTTCAGCTGCTGACTGACAGATATCAGCTCAACCCCAGCGGGCCACTCAAACTGATGAAACACATACATACAATTATTACAAACATATTCGCTTGCACAGTTTCTCAGGAGAGGGACTCTGTCCTTCATTAGGTGAAGCATTAGCCTCAAGGGTAATATCATCAACACCTCCGTCCCCTGCGTCTAGAGAAACACAGAGCGCCACACAACACTCCCACCGCGCTTCAGTAATGATGCTCATAATATAACCGCAATCAATCACAGAATGAGCCGTATTTCACAATAGTTCTGAGGGTTTGGTGAAAAACAAACCAAAATCAGTCAGCAGTAGTCCGCTGTTCTATGTTCTGTTTCATTTTACTTTTTTATTAAAACAAACCTTTTTAAATGTTCATGGATCTTTAACAGGTTAAAAGTGGGCTAAATTCGGTTTATGATGTTTAGAAATAAAAGAGCTCTTTTAGTGATGTTTCCTTGCAGTTTCTTTGTTTTCTGCAGTTAAGGATTTAAAGTAGACAACCAGTGCAAATCCATTTGTGCTTCACGTCAGACCTGCTGCAGATTTTAGACTAACCAGAAGTATTGTTTAGGCAACCCACGATTAGCTGGTTTTAGATCTGCACACCTGTAGTAGGGATGGTGAAGCGCTGCAGAAAGACTTACAGTTTAATGGTGGGATATCCTCGCACGCCGAACTCTGACGCCACACCTGCGTCACACACATGAACACAATCACAAGACATGGACACCATCAGGAAGATGTGAATATCAGCAGCAGAGAGATCTGGAAACCATGACATACTGTGCTTGGATCTGAATCATGCGTGTTACTGTAACTGACAAAAGCCCAGTCTAGCGTATCATCAGCCTGTCATTATCATGTATTTACTGTGATCACTGTTTAATAAAAATATAAATTAAATTAAAACATATTAAAGTTACTAATTATAATGCTTTCTTTTCCACAGTTATTTAAACAGTGAGTAAATGACATACAGAAAACACCATCACTGACTTCAGTCTAGCGCGAGTTTAGCTCTCTCTAACAAACACTTCTGTTATAACTAATGACACAGAGTTAAGAGACGTGTAAGAGAGTCGAAATCAGCCACTCAACTAAACTCCAGCATTTTAAGTCAGTGTTTAATGGTGCTTTTGATTTTTTTTTTATTGACAATTTTAGTAATAATAATAATTATTTGTTACTGTATTGCTATTAGTGTTATTAAAATGTTTCGTGCCATGGAAACTGCAACAGTATACGAATGATGCGTCTCTTTTATAACACACTCAAATGTGAATAGATCACACCTTTGATGTGGATGTAGTTTTGCTCTTAAACACCGGGTAAAAACACGTAAACTGCATGTGAACCACAGAGGCAAAGGATTCAGACCCACAAACAAGGACATCAATCATCTGAGTGTTACTGCTCAAAGAAACAACAATTCACTCACATCCCAAAGAGTTTGCTTATCACTTGACTTTTGTCATTAGTTTTATTTGTAATCTTCCATTAATTACAACATACTTAATTTAGGTTTAATATAATTATTTCAAACACAGTATGTTTGATTGCTTCATAAAGACAGATAAGAGACTGCTCAGAGACCTTGTATAACGGAGATTTGACTCGGATTAATAAAGTCGATCGCTTCACCTGAGTATGCCGTGCCGTCCATCTTTCCGACTCGGACCGGCGACCCCGAGCGCGTCAGCTCCGCTCCCACCTCCTGCCAGATCGGCTCCAGCTTCTTACAGTATCCACACCACGGAGCATAAAACTACAGCACAGTATGAAGACCAATCAAACACACACACTCACACACACTCTCACACACACACTCTCACACTCACACAAAGATGTGCATGCTGAAAATACTTTTTTTTTAAATTAAACTGATGTTTATATTTTGATTAGATCCATTTTTTCGATGATCATCACATTCATCATCACTGCATCATATCATCCTTTGACTTTTACTCAAACAGAACAGCTTTTAAACTCAAAGCAAAGATCATCAGTACAGAAAAGAAAACTACTTGTCAAGCAATTTCATGAGGTTTAATCAAAACCACAGCAGCACTGTAATCATGGCCTTCAAGGCAGGTTTCTAAGAGAATATATCATGCAAACATGTTGAAGATGTGCATGCTGAAAATCCTTTTTTTTTTAATTAAACTGATCTGTTTATATTTTGATTAGATCCATTTTTTCGATGATCACCACATTCATCATCACTGCATCATATCATCCTTTGACTTTTACTCAAACAGAACAGCTTTTAAACTCATTTAGCAAAGATCATCAGTACAGAAAAGAAAACTACTTGTCAAGCAATTTCATGAGGTTTAATCAAAACCACAGCAGCACTGTAATCATGGCCTTCAAGGCAGGTTTCTAAGAGAAATATATAAGCATCAGCAAATGCTGAACATGCAGCTGTCATTTATGAAGGATATGAACTCCATCAATGCATCAGATCAGATCTTTACACAGCTTTCCCTCACAGACACTCATTCATACTGCAATAAACTCAAGACTGTTCCCAGTGAGCCGCCACTCTGTCGACATTTCTCATAATATTGCTCACATTATGAAAATGACTTCGAAATAATATATTAAAGGAAGGAATATCTCACGTGTCATCGAGCTCCTGCACCAAAGCAAAAGCGGGACTGAAGAGAAGAGAAGAGAAAACTGCAAACACACAATCACTCCATCAGACGCCGATCTGATTTATGATGACTGATATAAAGGAAAGATATAAAAGATATTTAGAGTCTGTACCCGCTGTCAGCAGCGCCATGGCTCCGAATGAGAAGAGCATCAACAGGAAATGCGAGCGGAGGCGGCGGCGCATGCGCAGTGACAGTCTACGGTCAGAAAGCTGAAGCTGCGTCACGCTGCGTCACGCTGCGTCCGATCCGGCCGCTCTCATTCCCTATATAGTGGATGACACGCAGTACACTACATAGAGAAGGACTGAGCGAAGATGAGAGAATGCGGACACTGACGTAAATAATTCGCGAAAGTTTCACATTTATAAAATGCAATGGTCTTACTCCAAAACAACATTCTCTTACTTACCTCACAAAAATAAATAAATAAATAAATAAAAATAAATAAACAAATAAATATAAATAATAATAAATCTAAGAACTTTAGCTCCTGCGTACCTAACTAGTCTTCTACCACGCTACAATCCATCACGCTCCCTAAGGTCGCTAATATAGATTCAGATATAGATCAGTCACCACTGATAAGCTACTACTAAATATTGTAGAAACCTCTTTTGCTGTAAAGTTGCTTTGCAATGATTTGTATTGTGAAAAGCGCCATACAAATAAACTTGAATTGAATTGAATTGAATTGAATTTAAATGTAGCTATTGCTAACACAGTGATACGCTAAACAATACTCGGCAGTGAGAGAGAAGAAGTCCATGGCTTATGTAGGGTGTGTGATTGATAGCAGCTGTGTGTGTAATCAGTGCAATGGATGCTGGGATATGTAGTCCGGGATGACATGCAACAGTTTGTGTAGTGTGAGAGTCAATGTAACAGAAGGGTGACCTCTGGTGGCAATCGTACGGAAGTCCATGGACAGGATTCGTGACAATTATATATTAGAATTATATCTAGTACAATATTATAAATACCTTTAATTGCAATTTCTAACCTCAACTAATCAAAACTCATTTGTTAATATCAAAAAATATGTAGGTTAATGGAAGTATGAGTAGTTAAAATAGCATTCTCAATATCTTTAATGCCAACTACAGTGTCAAAATTGCATGATATCCGGAATTGGACAGGGAAATTAAATGATAAAATGACTTGCCATAGGGATGTCTGTGCACTATAACAACATTCAAAACAAGAGTATTTTTGTTCCTTAATTGCTCTTCATGTTTCAAGGCCTCGGGTTTTTAGGGAGATTTAATTTTCTGAATGAGCAATTGCCAAAAGAGATATGTTAATGCCAAGACTTGGCAAGACCTAAGGGAAAGTCAGTGGACAGAAAAATGCTGCTAGGGATTAACCACATAAATAAATTCTGACACATCAGTTCTCGATTCTGTATGTGTGTGTAAATGATCTCAGCTGTAGCGTTTATGTCCTGCAAGAAAGAGAAAAAAAGTGACACGGCAAACAGAGACTGAAGTTTGAAATCATTTTTATTCAGCACAGGTGTGTAAGGGATATTCATTCATTCATGTTCTTTTTTATTATTTTCTTTTATTATATCTCATATAACATTCTATATTTTAGCTCAGTAAGGACAGATAATCTCTTGCCATAGTAACAAAGTAATTTTACATTAGTAGTTCATTAGTAGTTGTAGAGTAAATCTAAAGATATATTTAGCATAATTTAGTGAGATCCACATTTATAGTGTCAGCAGTGTCAACAAGCAGACAACAATGACAATAATCCAGACACAGCTACGCATGTGAAGGGTTTATGAATCTTTCTCCAAATGTTTCTACTAACCCATATCATATTCTACACCATCTTTAATTTCACAACACTTTATTCTCATATGAAAAATAAAAGTATCTGTATGGGTTACATTATGGAAACGGTCCCACTTTAAGTGGCATTAACTACTATGTACTTACATAAAAAAATAAGTACAATGTACTTATTGTGTTCATAGTGTATTGCAAAACACTTTTGCTGCTATTGAGGTGGGAAACGGATAAGGTTAGGTACAGGTTTGGTGGTATGGGTAGGTTTAAGGGTGGGTTAAGGTGTAAGGGATGGGTCAACAGTGTAATTATAAATATAATTACAGATGTAATTACATGCAGGTATTTTTAAAATATAAGTACAATTTAAAAACATGTATGTACACAATAAGTGCATTGTACCGAATGATTAATTTAAATGTAAGTACATAGTAGTTAAGGCCAGTTAATATAAAGTGGATCATGGAAACTGGTAAAAATCAAAAATTTATCTTAAAGGTGACCAATTATGCCACTTTCTACAATATGTAATATAAGTCTCAGGTGTCCCCAGAATGTGTTTGTGAAGTTTCAGCTCAAAATACCGCACAGATCATGTATTATATCATTTTGAACATGCCTATTTTGAGAGGAAGCAGAAACACACTGTTTTCGTGCATGTATCTTTAAATGCAAATGAGCTGCTGCTCCCCGCCCCCCTTTCCACAATAGGGCTGTGCCTTTACAGCTTGTACTTTACATACTCGTACTGCGCTGAAATCATGCATTTTAAAGCCATATTAGTTTAAACTTCACCATCCAGCTAGGTTCTTCTACAATTACCCCATCGACTTCGGTCAGAAATCTTAGTGAAACGCTACTTAAATTCATCTTTAAAAAAAATCAATAAATAAAAATAAATTTTTCTTTCTCTTTATTTATTCCTTCCCTTTCTAGCTTGTACTTATTTGAACAATGCCTGAAACTTGGTATTGCGAGCACTTCCTGTGTCTGTTTGCCTCTTTAAGAAGAATCGCTTTATGTATTCCCCAATTGTAAGTCGCTTTGGATAAAAGCGTCTGTCTAATGACTAAATGTAAATGTAAATGTAAACTTCTGATACAGGGTTTTATAGGGTCATAATGGTGGTGCCTTAGGTGAAAAGATGCAGATTAAGGGCCAGTAATATTATAATAAGATCCCTTTGCCATGTCACAGAGGGAGCGAAATCTGACGCACTCTCAGACGCTTGCAGAAAAAGGCTTACTAAAAAAAAGTTACTGGGTTAATCTTTTTCACGTTTCCTGGGTTGGTAGATGCACCAGGGACCCGATTATAGCACTTAAAACTGGAAAAATGTCAGATCTTCATGATATGTCACCTTTAACATCTAAAACGGTCACATTCCTCCAAACTAAACAAAATATGTGACTGTTATGTAACTGTGACATAATCTGATGACCAAACTTTTGTTGTGGCAACCGGAAAAGTGACATGTCACAGAGGGAGCGAAAATCTGACGCACTCTCAGACGCTTGCAGAAAAAGGCTTACTAAAAAAAAGTTACTGGGTTAATCTTTTTCATGTTTCCTGGGTTGGTAGATGCACCAGGGACCCGATTATAGCACTTAAAACTGGAAAAATGTCAGATCTTCATGATATGTCGCCTTTAACATCTAAAACGGTCACATTCCTCCAAACTAAACAAAATATGTGACTGTTATGTAACTGTGACATAATCTGATGACCAAACTTTTGTTGTGGCAACCGGAAAAGTGAAAAGTGAAATTCAGTTTCTGTGTTGCCACAATGTTACTTTATTCATCCTTTTTACGGGGGTGGTGAGAGAAAAACACCGACATTCCGGATTCGGACGGCATTAAAATCACCAACTACCCCCTGTAAATGGTGAAAATGATTTACATCCCCCTGAGAAACAATTACCGTCCGAATAGGGCTTATGTCAACATGATAAACATATGCACGCATGCCACCCACATGCTGCAGCCCATTCATGTCTAATGATGACAAATACATAACAAACTGTAAACTGAACCAAATTACACAAATCACAACCACATCCCCACCCCCACTTAATCTCAACACATTTAATGTTATTTGTTATGTGTAATGGCTATGCTCTTCTCAATTTTGTCATTTCATCTAAATATCAACATTTGTAAGTAACTTTAACAAACTTTTGGATTTGTGTGAAACACATTAATCTTTATGACCACTGACACTCCCTCACATACAGTCTCTCTAACATAAAGGCTCAAAAAAAAAATCAGTGTGTGTATTGTTATGTGAATTAGTGTGCATGATGATTTTCACATACTTTTGTAGCTCTAGACTACAAAGTCCAGCACTCAAAAGTCTTGCAAACAAATGTTTAGTATGTGTTTTATGTTCTATTTCAGTGAGTTGATTTTCTCAGAAATACAAATGTGTACATACTGTACATGCTTTATACAGTGTAATCAGACTTTAGCCATTCAAATGTTAAAACAAACTGAAATAAGCACATGTACCCAGATACATGTACCCAGAATGTGTATAAGGGCTTTTGTGCTGCTCTGCACTGGAGCTTTTCGTACTGCTATTTTCAAACAAAGATAATTAATTTTTACCCTATATTTTTGTTGTATCAAATCTATAATGTCTGCTGTCCTACTAAACAATTGCAGAATACAATCCAAAGAAAAAATGTTAATAATATGCATGAAGTAGTAATAACTATCACAATTGTATCGTTCATAAGATTCTAAGAATGTTTGTGTAATTGTAATTTTTAAAGTGAAGAAATTACCAGAAGTAGCAGTAAGGGATCTACACCCGCATTCACTTGTTTCAGATGTTACAAAATTATTGCTGTTTTGGGGTGTGTTAGATATCATCACTCCTCATTAGCCACGCCCAAAATATATTCTTAATTTTCTAAACAATTTCATTAATCTAAATTATTTTAATAATGTATCGTCAAGAGGGTTTGCAGATTACACACAGCAATTCTGTATGAACTAGGTGGAAAAGAGAGAGAACATTTAAAATGTTCAAAACATTTTATACAGAATGGAACAGTATATCACCAACAGGTTCAGGAGACCTCAAGGAATCAGAGGCAAAACATCATTATCATTATACACAGTTTCAGAATTATTAACGAAAATTTTAATTTGATTACTATTATACCTGTACCCAAAGATGGACATGTGTATGTAAACCTGAATGTTGGTGCTATACAGGGCCATCATACGAAGTTTAGGGGCTCTGCAATATACATTATCTGATTCCCAAAAAGTTTTAGAAGTAGTAGTAGTAGTAGCAGAAGAAGAAGAATAGGGTTCAAGAACCTACTTTGTTTTCACCCCTAAAAACTTCAGTTCAGTCACTCCAGTATTGGTAGGTATGTTCAAAAAAACAAAAAAAGTTAGAATCATTTTGTTATTCTCGGGTCAGAATGAGGTCTCGTCAGCTGCTGCTCCCAGCCAGGGTGACAGTGGCAGGAGATGCGGCCCCGCATCAAGAGTTTGACTCATGCAAGGGTCAAATATGGCAGACTCCAGTGAGCTGAGTGAGCCCGTTACAGACCCTGTCCCTTCAAAGGCATATGTGTGCAGACAGTCAAAGGGTGGAAGGTATGGGTCTTCATCTGCCTCAGCCAGCCGGTCCATAATAAACTGTTGAAAGACAGTGTCTTCTGGTCCAATGAGGTGAGACTGACGCAGAGACATGCGGATACTGGTGGTGACCTCCTCCCGACAGAGCTTGCGCTCTCGCCGACGTGGGTGCCGGAGAGGAACTGTTTGGGTGGACTCTGTCTCTGGGATGGCAAAACTCAAGATTTTCTCTGAGAACTCCACTGTTTCCAACTCTTGTGTTGCCATTTTCTCCTGCCGTAATGTCTTGTACTTTCTCACAGCTAGCATTAATGTGGACAGCACTGCAGGGCAAGCCAGAGAGAGAACAGGTTTTACTATGCTTTTAAAACACTCCCTATTTCTTTATATTACATACACTATCTATTTGAGATTTAAGGTAAACCATTTGTGACAACTGAAAAACAAAACAAAATGCTACATTGTCACAGTGCATGTCTGCAGAAACATGTGTGAATAATTTTAAGAATAGATTTCCAGAAAGATTAAATATGTTCACACAAGAGCATCTCAAAAGTAATGCATCAAACACTTACCCATTCATTGCAGCTTTTGACCATCATTAAGAAGTTTATTTTCAGAAAAGTTTGATTATTATCTGATTATTATTAAATTTTGAAACATCCGATGTGATATTTTCCTTATAAGTAGGACATTATTTGTCTTTTTGGTCAATTGTGACTGGTTTACAAACGAATGAACAGTACATCTCACAACATAAGCTTTGCAAACAAACTTTTTCTAGGTCAATGCTTTATTTTAGACCCAACAATAATGCTGCAACACACTGTAATGGCTGGAAAAATCAGACACATCATTATTTGATATATCTAACAAATAATCCAACAACCCACACCCAACAAGCCAACCATGAGGGTCTATGGGACCCTCCCGAATGCAAATAACCGAAATGGACAGAATAGACATCTGGTTACCACAGTAACTGTTGCAAAAGGAATTGAATGTGTCTAGCCACTAGATGGAGGTATGTGAATGTATTTACTGTAAATGTGAGAGACCATAGCTGAAGAAAAGAGAGTAAAAGACAAATGCACTGCAATGCCCTCATGTCTGTCTCTTTGTTTTAATGGAATCTGCTACAACTGAGCAATGGTTTCTACAGTAACTAGATAAACTTTACGACCCAATGGAATGTAGAGAGAGACTCGTTCTCACTGAATTCACTTTGAAACAAGGACTTCTTTCATTAATTCATATACAAACCTTTCTATGAATGAACATGCATATCCCCAAGCCATTGAGTATATTATTGCTGTTTTTGTATATTGTCTTTTGTATTGTATACTATATACAAACCTTTCTATGAATGAACATGCATATCCCCAAGCCATTGTGTATATTATTGCTGTTTTTGTATATTGTCTTTTGTATTGTATACTGTTTTATGCATGCTTTATGATAGAACTACTAATTAATGTAGCTTCACCTATACCATTTTTTGGTATGTACGAATTTGTATTTTGATTATCTAAATGATAGTGTGTATTATAGGTTGATACCTATGCAAAATATTAGTATTATAAGTATTTATAATAGTCTTTGCATCAACACCCAATCCAGTTACATATGCAAAATACCATGTTCAAAGACAAAGGATCGTAAACTTTCCCTCCAAAAGTTTAAGTTACCATTGGCTCACAGACCTCCTGGAGGTGTGACCTCCACAGAAGTTAATGGGCACTGTTGCAGTGACCTTGCGCTCGTATCTCTTCTTCTGCTCTTACTGCTCTTATACATCCAGTCCGACCGTGATGCCGTGGGACCTCCCCTGCGCCAGCAGGTCTCCAAACTTTCTACCTGAGAGAACTCTCCCGACCACAACTGAGTCAGAAGAACATCTTTGAAGTTGTCATTCTTCAACCTAGAAGAATTGGATCGTAACTTCAACACCATCAAACCAAACTTTCATCCGAGACTGCATCCGGACGCTGGTTCAGCTACCAAGGCAATGGAAGTATCGTGTATTTAACTAAACGAAACAGAGGTTTAGTATAAGTATAAGTAGACCCCTTTGTTAGAAAGGTACTGATTGGTTTATGCTCCTTATCATTGCTTTTCCATAGCTTCATTTTCTGGTTTCTAACGGTTTCATTCATTCATTTGTATTTCCCCGCCTTTTTCCTATGTATATATGAGTGAGTGAGTGTATATGTTTGTTTAGACTAGTTATGTGTTAGTGTTTAGTTAAAACTTTTGTGCACAAATTTCATGAGTTTGGTTTTTGTGGTTAGTGCTTGTAGACAAAGTAAATTTAATGAGCTGATCTTGCTACATGCTCTAATGCATTAGTACTATCAGAAAGATGTTTTCTGTGGCCACGAAAATATAATTTCTTAGAGATGATATGAAATTACGAACAGATTAGTTCATTGTAATATAAATTCTGCTTCAGTTACTTCTGGTAGCTCATATAAATAATTATTAATAATACTTTTGTTAATACTAAATCTTCATCTGTGATCAATGATTGTTTTAGTATGCAAGAATTCATGAGCAGTCAGACATTGTTTGTCACAAAACTGTGATCAGGGCTCCTGCACAAAGCTATCATGCTTCACATTACAAACCCATTAGGGGTTATACAAATGTTATTATGCCCAGGTAAAAAATAAAGTATACTTGAATGCACTAAAAATACTTAAATACAAGCAAGTACATTTGTAGTACATTCTTTTTTTGTGCTAAATAAAATTGTAAAAGTTATACACTATAAATACACTAATTAAAAGTATATTTCTGCTTCAGTAGTACTTCAGTGCAATTGCAAAAGTATACTAAATACCACTGAGATTTAAATTTATTTTTAGTGCATTGAAATAAAGTATACTACTGGAAAAATTGAAATAGTGTACTACCGCAAAAAAAAATATATATATAATAATAATAATAATAAATAAAGAGTTTTATTTGTGTATTTCTTAAAACTGTGCTTTGAATGCTTTAAAAAATAAGTTCAATCTTAGTAGACTTTTATATAGATCTAAACTTAAATTTAATCGATTTTGTAAAAATATATTACTAATGTACTAGTTATAAGCACATGTTCCCAATTGTGGTACTTAACTACACTTAATATAAATGCACTAAGTGTAGTCAGATAAAGTAAACCAAATAAACATGTAGTTAAGTATATCATATAAAGGGTAATATTAACATAGTTACAATACATTTGAAATGAATTATTTAATGTATAAAAGTATGTGGACAATACATTATGAATACATTTTGTATATATTTATTATATATTATTTGTATATTTAAAATAATACACACATTGTGGCTTTTTATTTATTTATTATTATTTTATTTTTATTTTTTAAATTCTTTTATTTTATTTATTTATTTAAAAAAATATTTTGTATTATGTTATAATTTGTATTTATATATATGTGTGTGTATATATATATATATATATATATATGATGTTGTGAGTTTGGAGAATCCTTTTAGCAAAGCAAAAAAAAAAAGAAGACAAAATTAGTAAATATCTTAAATATAAAAAACAAATGCTGCAAATTAGTACAAAATAATTTTATTAAAAAATATAATAAATAAATACATAAATATAAATACAACACTCAACACTTATGTGAACAACACTCAATATTGTTTACAACACTATAAGTGTGTCCCATCAGGTAATGAAAAGTTCTACACACACTTGTGGTCTTCATGCTCACTTGAACACTTGGGCCAAATACAGGAAATACGTCATACAAGTGGTCAAGTGCAAAGACCGCAAGTGTGGGTATTTGGACAAGGCTTCTCTCTCTCTCTCTCGTGTGCATACTGGGAGTGAGTGGGCGGAATTGGCGTGTGAGTTGGTGAGTGAGAGAGCTGCTGAGTGAGTTTCTCTTGTCTTTCTTCAAAGCATCTTTCTTTGCTGTGAACTTGGTTTTGTGTATAGTACAACGCTGAGTTAAGGAACGCCGTCCGCCAGTGTTCGCTGGTCGGCAATGGCGGCTCAGGAGTGGCTGTTAAAATCGCGCCTGTGATGAGATACTCAGTAGAGTAATGTAGTTTAGCGGTTGGGAAAGTGGTTGGATACGACAGCATTATGTCGGCGTTTCGTATGAATAGCGCGTTTGTTATTTTCTTAAACAGCATAGAGAAAGTAAACAATGTTGTGCAAAGCGGAGTTGTTATACAGGATATGTTCACGCCAGTGATGCCGTTAGTTCAGCCAGCAAGAAAAATCATATTGTCAAATGTTCCCCCCTTTATTAAAGATGAACTGCTTATTACAGAATTGTCATGACATGGTAAAATAGTGTCACAAATGAAAAAGATTTCACTGAACTGTAAATTCCCTTTTAGTCAAGCATGTTGTCTGTTTTAGATGGAAAATTTACATGATTTTGAGAAATGATGCTGAGGATCTGAATGTGGGTTTTAAGTTCAGATAAAAAAATTTTGAGTGTGGGCAAGAGGGCCATATTAGATGTCCTGAGCGGGTTGACATTTCTGACTCTGAACCTGATAATGTAGAAGTCGATGTAACTGATAGGTCTACTGTTGATAATGGAAGAACTAATGTGACTGGCACTGTGGTGACTAATAATGCTGATGTTAGGGTAGATGCACAGGGGCAGGCTGCAGAAGATGTTAAAAGTATAACTGTGGAAGAAGTTGTTGGTGTTGTTGGGCCTCTCAATATTGAAAGTGAGGGGGAAAGGAAGGATGTTAAGTCTGGTGAAGCTGCTGTGGCAGAGTCAATACAAAAGGGGATGGATACTGAACAAGTGAGTGATGAGGCACTCTTTAAAACAGCTTCAACCAAAAGAAAAAGGCCTAAACCATGTGCCGTAAAAGGGACAACTGAGCAGGTGGCAGAAGACACTGAATGTAGCACAGTTGAAGACTCGGATAGTGATGCAGCTGACATTAAAAGTAGGCAAAATCGACATAGCGCCTACACCTTTGATAAAATAAGGTATTTTTTTGCAAAAGACAAAGAACATAAAAAATGCTTGAAGGCAAAGAACAGTTCACAGCACAAGAAATCTATAGACTTAAGAAATTTGTTTCAAAAGTGGGACTTGAACTGCAAGCTGATGGTGGTTTTGAAACATGATTTTTTCTATCTCTTGTCTAGTGCTTTTTCTTTTTTTCCTTGCATTACTTTTCCTATGAGTGTGGTTAATGTGGGTACTCTTAATTTATTGAATTGGGTATTGAAAAAAAAGCCTTGTTGTTTGAACTAATTAAACATAAGAATTTACAATGAAATTGAATGGAGGAAGGAATGGGAGGGTGGGGTGTTTTTTACACACATGAGTTCTACGTCTCTTGTGAAATTAAGCATGTAATTCCTGGAAGACTTATTGTTGTACAGTAGGGCTGAACGATTTTGGAAAATAATCTAATTGCGATTTTTTTTTTTTACCAATATTGCGATTGCGATTTAATATGCAATTATTTTTTTTAAAGCTCTTTGTGTTCTGTATTATTCAACAAAGACAAGCTATAAATCATTGTATAGTATGACCAACACAAGGGCGCGGTCACCAGTTTTTGGTGGATTGGGAGGGGTACGGTCCTGAGGAGAGGTGTTGGATTCCGGCCCGGGACGTCCTGGATCGCTCGCTGGTCGAGGACTTCTACCGTTCTCGCC